CCTCTTCCATCTTCCCTTCTTCCCCTTCGGGGAGGGGCTTACCCCTCCCCCTAACCCCCTCCCTTGGACGTGGACGGGGGGTTTCGCTGGTAGTTGGAGCGTCCAAAACGGCTTCGGCGAGGAAGCCAAAATCATCGGTTTTACTAGGGTTTGGGCCGATTTTAAAGGCTCCCGAGGGGGGACGCTAATTGGGGGACCCCCTTCCTTTGATCGATCGCCTCCAAGATGGCCCCAAGAGCGCTCCCAAGGCTCCCAAGAGCGCCCCAAGAGGGCCTCCAGAGGCGCCCAGGAGGCCACAAGAGGTCCCCAAAAGGCCCTGAAGAGGCTCCCTGGACCCCCAAGAGGCCTCAAGAGGATCCCCGAGGCATCCAAGAATCCCCCAGGCGCTCCAAGAGGACTTCAAAACAACTTCCAAGGGACATCCTAGGAGGCTCTTGTGCACGTCATTGTTCTTGTTTCTTCTCATCTTTCTCATCATCCCCCTCCTCCTCTTCCTCCTCCTCCTCCTCCTCCTCCTCCTCCTTCCCTCCTCCCCTCCTCCTCCTTGTCGGCCAACTCCTCCTCCTTCTCCTCCACTTTATCAGCCTCATCCTCCTCCTCCTCCTCCTTTCCTCTTCTCTTCCTCCCCCTCCTCATCCTCCTTCTCCTCCCCCTCCTCCTCATCATCCGCCTATTTCCCCTCCTCCCTCCTCCCTCCTCCCACTTTTCCCACCTGCTGCCCCTCCTCCCCCTCCTCCTCCTCCTCCTCCTCCTCCTCCTCATCCTCCTGCGACTTCTCCTCCACTTTATCAACCTCATCCTCCTCCTCCTCCTTTCCTCTTCTCTTCCTCCCCCTCCTCATCCTCCTTCTCCTCCCCCTCCTCCTCATCATCCGCCTATTCCCCCTCCTCCCTCCTCCCTCCTCCCACTTTTCCCACCTGCTGCCCCTCCTCCCCCTCCTCCCCCTCCTCCTCCTCCTCCTCATCATCATCATCATCCTCCTGCGACTTCTCCTCCATCCTCGCCCTCTTGGGTAAGACGGGTCCCCCAGCCCTGTGCTACTCTGTATTCTTCCTCACTTTCCTGATCACCGCAATTCGCATGGGCATCGTTTTTGGATGGGCTGGTGGGGATACGCGAAGCGCCAAGCATTTCTTTTCGCAACTCCACTCAATACCCACTTCTCGCTTCTCACTACTCACTGCATCCTACTCCCTAATCACTACTCACTACTCACCACTCGCTACTCCCTGCTCGCTACGCACTACGCCCTACTCACTACTGGCTCCTGACTACTTCCTCCTAACTACCCAGCGCTCACAAGGCCCTACTCGCTGCTCACTACTCACTACTCGCTGCTCCCTACTCACTACTCCCTACTCGCTACTCGCTACTCACTACTCACCACTCACTACTCTCTACTCATTGCGCACTACTCACTACTCACTACTCACTCCTCGCTACTCGCTATTGTTTACCTCCTCATCCCTACTCCCTGCAAACTACTCACTATGCACGACTCACTACACACTACTCACTCCTCACTACTCACTACTTACAATTCTTCCTTCCCGCTACTCACTACCCACTACTCAGTAATCTCTACGCACTACTCAGTACCACAACGACCCATTACCCACTACTCACTACTCACTGCGCACTACTCACTGTCAAATACCCACTACTCACCAATCGCTACTCATTCGACCCCCCCCCCCGCCCTTTCCAGTGCCAAAGGGGGAAGGGGGGGGGGTCGGACCCCCACCACCCCTGAAGGGGGGGAGGGAGGAGGGGGGGGGTCGAAAATCCCCCCCCCCTTCTGAAGGGGGGGTGGGGGGGGGGGGGTCTGCGAGCACCCCCCCCCCTTTGTGTACTCAGGGCTATTCACTGGCGCGCTTTCAACAACAACAACAACAACACACTGATTACCTGTTGAGCCTGGCCCACCATTCAGTTTTTTTGAGGCACGAGATGGATGGGCCATAGGTCGTCTCCTCGCAGCAGCTGTCCCCACTGCTGCACGAAAACTGTACTGCAGGGTTTCAGCAGCTGCCGATGGGCCCCCAAATCAGACGCCCCACAACGTAGGCACAGGAAAACGGGCATGGAAGACTTGACAATCTTGGCAACATTCAGGGTGTGGGGCGGGGACGCTACCTGATTGATTAGAGAACGCATCGAGGGGGTCAGAACCGCGCGCGGTCCTCTCGGATTCTTCAAGATAAAAAAAGGCACAATCTGGGCAACGCCACCTGCACCCATTTCAACGGACACGGCGGGGCTCACGGTAGCTGTGGACGATCAACGGCCGAGGTACCCAAGGGGCCTGATTTAACTTCCTTGAGGGCTCCTTAGCCTTATGACAGGAGTCTAACAATTCAGCCATACCTACCTATACGACCACCATGCGGGTGATAAGGAGGTTTGGGGGAGGAGGGGGGCCAGCAATGGGAAACAGTGGTGATTGTTGCGTTGCCGCTCGCTCTTGGGACCATCGATCCCACTATCGATCTCACTCGATCGATCTCACTATCGATCTCACTCGATCGATTTCACTGTCGATCTCACTCTGGATCTCGCTATCGATCCCACTATCAATCTCTCGATCGGTATCACTCGATCTCACAATCGATATCGCTATTCATCTCACTATCGATCTCTCTATCGATCTCACGATCGATCTCACTATCGGTCTCATTATCGATCTCACTATCGATCTCACACAATCGATTTCGTCATCGGTCTCACTATCGTTTTCGCACCAGCGGGACACCGGGACACCGGCGGGACACCGGCGGGACACCGGCGGGACACCGCGGGCCACCGCTTGCCGGAGGGAGAATCATGTGGTCCCGCCGCGCCTCAGCCACAGGAGACTTTCCTCTCGCCCGCCCACGCAGCTTCGCCTCGCCCGCACGCACGGCACGCGCGAACACGAAACCGAAAGCGATTTCCCGGTGGGGGGCTCGCCGTTCCACTTCGATCTCACCCCCCAACTTTCGACAGGTAGAGACTGCCAGCTGCTCAGAGCCAGCTCATAGTTCAGTATGTTCTGCGCCATTTAAGGATGCAAGTTAGCACCATCTTTAGCATATGCATCGGCAAGATCGTTTCCGAATTTGCGTACTCTAGCCTCTGCAGCGATATCATCTCCTACAAGCGAGTTGAGCTCCTGCTCCTCCTCCTCCCTCCCCCCCCTCCTCCTCCTCCTCCTCCTCCTCTTCGTCTTCCTATTATTGTTTGTCTTCTTCTTTCATTCGTATTATTTGTATTCTTCTTAATATTAATATTCGTATTATTATTGATCGTCTTCTGATTATTATTTTGATGCTTCCTTATTATTCGTATTATTATCGTATTATTGTCGTCTTCTGATTATTGATCGTATTATTATGCTTACTCCTCCTCCTCCTCCTCTTCCTCTGCCTCCTCCTCCTCCTCCTCCTCCTCCTCCTCTCCTCCTCCTCCTCCTCCTCCTCCTCCTCCTCCTCCTCCTCTCCTCCTCCTCCTCCTCCTCCTCCTCCCCTCCTCCTCCTTCCTCCTCCTCCTCCTCCTCCTCCTCCTCCTCCTCCTCCTCCTCCTCTCTGGCCAGAACTTCGAGGCGGACCCAGCCGTGGCCTCGAGGGCGCTCTGGGAAGGCCGGCGAGGGCGCACCGACACGCATCGCACCTTCCTCAGAAAACAAAGCCCCAGCCCTCACCCCACTCGACCTCTGACGACGACGACGACGACGACAAGGACAAGACGATGACGTGTAAGGCCTGCGCCTTCTAAGAAGCAGCCTCCTTCTAAGACGCCTTCCCCCCTCCCCCTGCCCCCCCCCCTGCGCGTGGCCGACTTCCTCCCCCCCCCTGCGAAACGGAGGGGCAACGATAGGGGGGGGACTGGCAGAAGAGTGGAACATCGACCTGGAATCGGCGATACATCGCCGACAGGTCGGCGATGGGCCCCCGATAGTGAGTCCGCACGCTCCTGGGCAGGTCGGGGCTATCGGGCCAATATCGGCGATCAACGGGCGATTGGGGGTCGATGCCTCCCCCCCTATGGGACGCACAAGGACATACTAGTACTATGCGTCCTCGTCGGAGGCGTGCGTCCGACCCGAACATCTAGTAGAACCATCTTGTAGTAGATCGTTTCCCGAGCGGTACGGCCAGAGAGCGCCCGCCACGACGCATATACTATAAGATTCCTCGGTGCACACTTAGTATAGATATGTTGAGGCGCCACCGACCATGTGACGATCCCCCCCTGATCGCTGCCCCTGCGAAACGCCCGAGCGTCTATCCCCCCTCTATACATACACATATGTGTATGCCTATCCCCCCATGCGTGACTATCCCCCTACAGTAGGAGCTCGACCACAAAAAGTGTCCACAAGAAACCCAACCCTGAGACCCCAAGACGTCAATCGATTTGTGGTGTGGGAACGTTACGCGCTTCATCGCAAAACCACCCACATCCAAGAAACCCAGTGCACCCTGGAGGTAAGCAGGGTGTTTCTTGGCATGGGTTTCTGCTGTATGTGCCTATCCTTGGAGGCCTGAAAATGGGCACCAACACCAACACAGGGGGTTGCCTCCACAGGGGGAAGATGATCCTAGACTTCGGTGATGGTGGTCATATTTCGGTCACCTTGGAAGCCAGAACATTACCACCATCACTGGGATCGAAACCTCCTTCCCTCGGTGGAAGCACCCCGCCGATCTTGGTGCTGGTGTCAACCTGTGGGCCTGCGATATCCCCCCCCTTGCGCCTATCCCCCCTCTCGCTGCCCCTGTGAATCGGGAGCGGCCAAGAGGGGGGTGTCCAAAAGGGGGGGGTGCAAGTCATGACCGGCGGCATGTGCGCGGCCCAGCGGGGGGGCCAGGGACGTAATGAAATAAGAAGAGGCGCCATGAAATCTGGGGAAATGTCATGGCCCCCGCCATGATATCCACCCCCCCCTAGTCATCACCCCCCTCTTTGCCGCCCCCGAATGAAACGCCCGCATGCCGGGCGCTCCCCGGCCGCCGGGCGGCCTTGGTCTCCTCGTCGCTGGCGAGGTCCTGCGGCGGCCGGGCGGACCGTGCGCGTGCCCGGGCCGCGGCGCCAGGGGGCCGCCCACCGCGCGGCAGGCCCGTGCCGTGCTGCGCCCAGCGTCGGCTCCTTCTCGGGTCAGGTCGGGCATGTCCTCCTGCAGGCGGACTTCGGACGCAGAATGATAAGTAGACAAAAAAAAATCAAAAAAGGGGAACAACAAGAAAAGAAAAAAAAAAAAAAAAAAAGTCGAAGAATCGTCCCCGGACTGGTTTTTGACCATGGCTAGATTCCTCCTGTGGAGGGACAGGCCCGACTGGATCCTCGGGTCGGGCGGAACGGGCGGTCAGCATTTGAGCGGCGATCGGAAACGGGTCTTGCGCGAGATGGCATACAGTGGAGGCCAGTCCACAAGAAACCCTCCACAAGAGACCACACCCTGAGACCCCAGGACGTCCATGGGTGTTTGGCGTGGAAACGTCACGCCTTCCACAGCAAAACCATCGAAACTCAAGAAACTCAAGGGCACCCTGGAGGCAGGCGGGGTGCTTATTGGCATGGGCCTCCACTGTAGCGACCTTGCGCCGCGGATTACGCGGGCCGCCAGCGCGGCACACCTCGTGGGGAACGAGGGCGCTTATGCGCGGCCTTTCGGGGCAGCTTACGCGCCAACGTCGGCGCAGACGACCCCGTTTTGTGCGTCGCTGAGTTGTCACCCGGATCTTTAGCGGCGGGTGAGGGGGGGAAGTGAGAAGCAGACGGCGGCGGGCCTTCTCAGAAGCCCTCGCGCCTTCTCAAACATTCTCTGCGTCTTCGGGGGAGGCCGAGAAAACGTCCCGGAAGGCCAACGGACTTACGAATATTCGTAAAAACTTTCTCCTTCGCACTTCCCCCCGGCTCGCCGCCGAGAACTGGGTACGGAAAAATGAATACGATGCCCAACAAAACATATTGTCCAAAACCGACAGCGGCCGATGTTGGGCAGGCGGCCTTCTGTCTCAAATGGACCACGTCCGCGGCGGCGCGGACAGCGACTCTTGTTGAGAAGGAACAAGAACTGCTGTTGGGCATCTTGCCCATTCTTGCCGTACCCACTTCTATCGTGCCGAGAATCAGCTCACGTAGCCGATCTTCCCGGCGCCTCGCAGTGGGACGCACAAGGACATACTGACAGTATGTCCTCCTCGGGGGCGTGCGTTCGACCAGATCACATTGTCTAAACATATCATCGTATATCGCTTCCCGAGCGGTACGGCCAGAAAGCGCCCGCCACCCAGCATATACTCTAAAATGTCTTGGCGCGCGCGTGGCCCCTGTGGGGGCGGCGCGCGCATAGTATTGGTATGTTGGGATAGCGCACATCACAGCGCCAGAGGCGCCAGTGTACCGGGGAAGCGGGGCCGAAGCCAGCTGCGTTCAGCAGATGTCCTGCCCCCCTTTCCCAACCCCCCCCCTTTCGTCCGACCCGAATGTCTGACACCGCGTGGATCGTCCGACCTTGAACGATCGGCGGCGGTTCGATCGCCAGATCGTTCCATATCAGCAAAAACTGGGCCACTGTCGGGGCTCAACCTTGAGCGCCCGCGGCGGGGTGACGGCTGCGTCGACACGACGCGAACCTTCTGTGCAACTTTCAACGTCCGATCCACAGGAGCAGCAGGGTAACGACCTGGAACCTATCAGGCGTAGCACCGCTCAACTCCGCCCAGTGGCAGGGCGCGGTGTTGAGCGGAGTTGAACGTTGCGCGGTGTTGAGCGCTGCTACGGAGCGTTGTGCGGCGGTGTTGCTTGTTCTATAGCGAGCTGTGACATATAATTCCAAGAGGCTCCCGCTGGACCGAGCATGTAAACAGTGGAACACAGACCGAACCAACAACGACACCGCAACCGACGGGAACCGACAGCAGAGAGCCCACAAAAGACGCACTCGCCCAGCCACGCTCGTTGATACAGACCCCTCGGTCCGCGATCCCAGCCTCGTGTTACGAACGCTCGCGCACTGTATAGTCTCGAAACCTATCAAACGCAGTCACATGTATGAGCCATGAGCACGCACGTGCTGCTGTCAATCCTGAGACAGGCCGCAAGCAGGCTGGACGGGTGCAGCAGTGCAACAACGACACAACGATCGACCGAACCGAGCCGAACTGCGCGCACTCTTGAGAGCAAAACATAAGCCTGTCGGACCCCAACATCTCCCCCCGGAGCAAGGACCCCCCTTCCAAAACCAACCTCACACGTCAAAAGGCCATCTTGGCGAAAATCGCATAAGCCTGGATTGGAAACCGCCCAGTGGAGTCGGGGTAGATGGGGCCGGGAGATCGCACGGCACCGCCGATGCCTCGGCGATGCATCGGCGACGCCGGGCTCGAGAAAACGAGGTTCTGGATCTCGTAGCATCGCTGATGCATCGGGCCACGCGGCGCGATCCTTCGACCCATCTGCTTCGGCCACATTTGGGAAGCCTGGAGATGTACGGGTATGTGCTCTGGAGGGGCAGCGGGAAGGCGGCGGCGCGAAGAGGCAATCACCATGACCGGCGGCCGACCACCGCCGTGCGACCCTCGTCCTGGGACGCCCGACGTGCTGGCTTCGACTGGTGGTCCTGCCGTAGAGGTCTTCTTCCTATAATGCCGCACTGGGGGACTGCACGCGGTCCATGGCCGTTGCCTGATCCTGCGGAATTCTGTCCGTCGGCTGTTATCCAAACCTATTCTTGCTACCTCCACCATGCTCTGTGGATGAACCACTCTATGTCCTGACAGGGTCATTGTGCGTCGCGAACAAGCACTTCGATCTAGTCATCGATTTCCACTGGCTTCGCTCTCTGCTGGACGAGGGTGAGATTGCCGCTGCCGCTGTCGTCGACGGCGGTCCTGGGTGTTGCTTGAGTCGTTGTGGTGAGAATGGCAATTGTAATGAAGCCCTTTGCGCCAAGCGCGTCTGAAATGACCTGTGACCTCTGAGGAAACTTGTGTGTGGGCTGCCGAATCCACGGAAGCAAACTCAGAAAGAGTCGACCGATGTGCTGATATTGTCTGGACCATCCTCTGCAACGCACGCTGGTTGACAGAATCTGCAGCGGGAGTTGGGGGCCCAGCTCCGCTGACAGGCTAGGAGTGCGAAGACCTTGGCCATGCACTTGGCTCCTTCAAATTGTACATGCCAATACATGTCCTCTTACAAGAGCGACGATCAGAAACGGGTCTTACGCGAGATGGCATAGCGACCTTACGCGGCGGCTTACGCAGGCCTTCAATGCGGCACGCTACACTGGAAGCGAGGGCGTTTACGCGCGACCGTACGCGGGCAACTTACGCGCTAATGTCGGTGAAATCGACCCCCTTGTTCGTCGCTCGCATGATTTGGAGTGCGAACTTGCGGTCTCGCTACTGCTGCTTCTCCCTTTACTTCATAATGTAATCCTCCGCTGACTCCCTTTCAGCAACACTACGCCCGACTTTTTTTAGCTGGAGCGGCTCGCGAACTTGCTGCCAACGCAGGGAACGCCGACAAATTCATACCTCTACTAGAAATGACCTTCGCGAGGTGTTTCGGGCAGCTCGACAGGCGGCCCGGTTGAGCGAGGCTGCTCAGGAATGCCAAGCAAACCTCGGTGTGTTTTAGAAAAAACGTCTCGCAATACTCCTTTAGGACAAGGGAATTATCCCCGACAGTCCCTCGCACCCAAGCTTGCAGCGCTCCGCACAGGAAGGGCGTTTTCCCGCTAGCGCGCTCGATAAGCAGATAGCACTGGACGGGGTCACAGGTACCCTCCATCCAGAAGCGCAAAAAATCTTGTGGTCTCAGATCAGAAAAATGCACGATAAAAGCATGGCTCCATGTGTGTTTCCGCCCGTACAGAGCTTTCATGCTGAACACAGGGTCCAGAAATGTAACGTTGGAGCCGTAAAAGTCCAGATAGGCTCCGTGGTGAGCCGCTCCACTGAAGAAACCAGGGTTGCTGCGGTTGAAGATCCGCCGACGCCCTTGTGGGGCCAGCGGGCTGTAGGCCGAAGCGTGTTGCTCCCTGCACCAGTTGCAGCAGTCCTGCTTACTGCTTCCTATTGTAAATTGTTGAAATCCGCGCGAGGTGGGGGAGCCGCAAAGGATCCAATTCACCACGCCCAAATCGCGCTGCCTAAATTTCCAAGGGGGCGTGGGACACATACAAATATGTGAGATTCGCGCGGCCCCAAAACCATAATCATTCGCTAATTACGCCATGTTCGCGTCCCCGAGGCCACACACCCTCGTACATTATACAACTTGTGCGTTCCCGAGGCAAACAACCCCCTCGTAAATCAAATGGTATTCGCGTCACCGAGGCATAGACCTTTGAAAATTCCGCTACACTCGCATTGCCGAGGCCAAGAGAGCTCCAAGGCGCCCGAAGATGTTTCCAAGACGGCCCAAGAAGGCCCAAAGAGGCCCCAAGAGCGCTCAAAGAGGCTTCCCGGCAGAGCCCCAAGATGCCCAAATCGTAGATTTCACTAGGTCTTTGAAGGATGTTGGCCTTCTCGAATTCTCGGCTTGCCGACGCTCCAAGACAGCTCAAGAAGCTCCCAAGACCGCCCAAAGACAGCCCAAGACGCCTCCAAGACGGCCCACAAGGGCTCCAAGATTACCCAAGAAGTGCTCACGACGGCCCAAGAGGACCCCAAGACGGCACCAAGAGGGGCCCAAGCAGAGGACCACGAACCGAACATTCGATCATATGTGCATACATATGTACACATATACATACATATACATATACATATGCATATGCATATGCATATGTATATACATATACATATGCATATGCATATATATATATATGTGCATATGCATGTATGCGTGTATGCGTGTATGCATGTATGCATGTATGCATGCATGCATGTGTGTATGTATATATGTATGTATGTATGTATGTGTGTATGTATGTATGTATGTATGTATGTATGGATGGATGGATGGATGGATGGATGGATGGATGGATGGATGGATGGATGGATGTATGTAGATACATGTACGTGTATCTATATAT